CCAATACGAATCTACTTCTGTTTGCCCATGTCGAACTTTCAGAACCGTGAATACGTGGCCCATGCTGGAGCTCGCTTCCCGATCAAGTGGACCGCGCCAGAGGCGGCCAACTACTCGCGGTTCACCATCAAGTCGGACGTCTGGTCGTTCGGCATCCTCCTCACCGAGTTGGTCACCTACGGCCGAGTGCCCTATCCGGGAATGCACAACGCCGAGGTGCTGCGTCAGGTTGAGTCGGGCTATCGGATGCCGCGACCGGCCGGCTGTCCTCCCGAGCTCTACGACCTCATGATCGACTGCTGGGCGGCCGACGAAGCCGACCGGCCCAGCTTCGCCGAGATACACGCCCGTCTCGAGGTCTACGGCGACGAGGAGCGTCCGGCCTACAAGGATCCCGAGGCGACCGCCGCCGTCCTCTCGCCAGATCCCAACATGACGACCAAACCGGCCGGATCCCCGCATCCCCCCGCCGCCAAACTGGACCTCGGGCAAGCCCAACTCCACTCAGCCTCTCCTCAACCGCCGCCCCCACCTCCACACCATCACCACCACCCTCCTCACCATGCCCACCAGCCACATCACCACCAGCCAGCCCAGCAACAGCACCAGCCCCACCATCCACCTCATCACTCGGGCCAATTGGATCGACATGCCACCAAGGCTCTGTCGACACGCGTGAGTGGAGCTAGCGCATCCACGAGGGCTGCAGCAATCGTACCCGAAATTCCTGTATCACCCTAAACCCTCCTCAGTGCCTTTGGTCTCTCTGTCCATCTGTCTGTATGCCACGAATTGTCTCAGTTGACCGGCCTCGGCGCTGCCTTGCTCACCCTCCCGGTGTACACCATCCCGAGCTCAGCTTCCTTGAGGCCGTCCACCTGCCTGCTTCGACACATACATCCAAAGTGTCTTGGCCATCTGCCTTCTTTGTGGACTCTCGACGTCTTTCCGCTCTCGGGTCCGCTGGGCTCGAGGTCTCGCCTAACAGCTTCTTTGATGGCAAAATAATCGACTTCCCACCCTGTGAGCTTTCTATCAAATCCGATCATACTACGCATGAACTAACCGTTCTACTGACTAGTGTAAATAAGTAGAGTTATACATTGTCGTCGATGAAAAAAACACACTTCTGTACCCGTCGGCTGTGCAAGAGATTTCGATGTGCCAACTTCCGAGTGGCCTCGGTGAATTCAGACCTGGTAGCACGGTGGTCATTTATACACACAGACGTACGAACAACCACCTATTCATATACACCTTTCTTGCTAATTTTATACATGCACATATATGTACATATATATATATATATATATGTATGTATGTGTAATATTTTCACTTGACCAAGTTGCAGTCTCATATATACAAGATGCAAACAGCTTCACTAGATTCTGAGTTGAGTCAGCGCCCATCAACAACAAATTCCGATCTCTTAACTTCATAGGCATCGTCAATTCTCATGTGTAAAGGAGAATCAGTTTGTTGTTTTCCCAGCATTGCCTTTTTAATCTTGTCAAGGCCACCATTTTGGCTAATCTTCGATGCTTCTCGATAGACCAATTAGGCGCCAATATTCACCTGTCCGCACTGAGGCATACTCGAACAAGCCAACACCAGATCTTGCCCGAGAGGCCCGAGCCCACAACAAGCATTTGGTTAATGGCAGAGCCCGGGTTAGCAAATACTCGGTAGTGTAGCCTAGAGACCATTTACTCAGTGTGCATTTTTCATTTCAGATTGACAATTAACTGATGATTGATCCGAAGCCTCTTGTCCAGATCGACTGTGCAAGCACGACTTCTAACAACGTGATTGCACTTTGCTCCTACTAGCAGACATGGAGACCAAAATGGTGTGGTCCCCATTTTGCTGGCAGTTTCCTTTCGCAACACAAGATTGGTGTTGCCTCGTTTTGTCGCTTGGTTGCACAGTCAGATCGACCAGAAACTTACCTTGTCCGGCGTCCTTTGCCGGAGTATGCACGACAAGTCCCAGCTTCGGACCTTGGCCTTGGTAGGCTCATAGACTTTTAGCCGGCAACGCCAGCCAGCCTCGTCGGCTTTAGCACCAGGTCATGACGCATCGGAGACTTGTGCATTCTAACCTTCTCGAAAGGGGTGTCTGAGTGAATTTGATGAAGCCTAAGCACACGAAAATACAAGATAAACTAATGTGCTATGGATAAGTGAGGCTCACTGACGATACCTGCAAAACGTATAGGAATGTACCAAGTGCATGGTCCGGTGCCGGAAGTTATCATGTGCTCATCGAGATCTCTCTTGCAACATGATCGAAGTATAATTCGCTCTGCAGTATAGAATTTGATTTTGCCTCATCGCGGAACTTAGCACATACCAGGCCCCGTCGTTACAGCAACGACCGTGCCAGGACCGAATGAGGCTAATCTTATCTTTTATTTTGACATGCATGCACACTCATTCACAGAAAAAGATGAGAAATTTAAGAATGGTAGAGGCGTTGATTAGAGCTTGAAGGCATCTCTTTGAGCTTCCACACGGCGAATGGCAAGACTATATAGATTTACAGACCAGTCTATAAAATCGCAATACTGCCAAAAGTGCCATTGAAAAATGAAAAACTCTGATAGGCCAAACACGAGAGAAAAAGGAGGACAAACTGCCTAAATGCAGGAAAGAAATGAAAATGTCAAATGTACTCAATTCTTTGGATATCGAGTAAGATAACCTTAGCAGGACACCAGTTGAACGGCTAGCTCTACCTTGATAAGGGGCCTGTTGTGTAGATCAGCACTTGAACTCCACGATTTCCATGGCATTTTGCCACTGAGATAGTCTTCGAGATACTTCTTCATCTCCAGATATCTGTCGCATGAAAAGCTTTAGTAGCCAAGGCCAATTGCTGTGTGGCCGAAGAGGATGGATGATGGATCCCCCTGAACAATGAGCACTAAATGAAGATAGGAAGATCAAGATGGTGTGGCCTTTTGTGTGGTCCCAGTCTCCTTTCGTTGTATATAAGTTGTTTGACCTTGTTTTCGCAACTTGGTCATATTGGTTCGTTGGCTTAGAGGAACGCACCTCATCCGGAATCCATTGTATGCATAAGCATTTCCAAAGTCGGACCGTGGACGTGGTACATTCCCAGACATTTCGCCGGCATCGTCAGTGAGTTTTACCATTCTTAGCGCCATATTATAACCCGTCAGAGACAAGTGAAGCCCATCCTTTGACCAAACGTGTGCTAAACAGTTATGGTATCTTCCCTTCTGTCCTAGGCTATTCACATTTCCTGTATCCTCCTATCACGCCTTCCCCGTCACAATTTTCACTTGCTTAATTAACTGTGGTACAGTGTGCCCTTTTAAGCGGCTATTATGAGAACGCTCCGCAGTCAATGCCGGCCTTCTCATCACCCTTCATCCTTTTGCTGGGAATGTCCATCAGAGTCTCCCATATTGTTACGAAGTCTTCCTTCCTTAGGTCTTATCATAGTCTTTCTCTCTTGCTTCGTAAGATCCGTCTGCCCTCCCCCTGGTTCACATATTTCACTCGACCCCTGCCACCTCATCTGTGCCACTCGAGGCATTATTGGCCCTACCCTGCGTCTGGGTGACTAATTCGAGGCTAAAGCCTCTGAGTAAGTGTCATGGTCACGTCTTTGCCACATGGACAACGTCTCTTATAGAAACTACTGTCAGTCCATTAGCTCCCATCGCCGCCGCGTCTATCCTGTTTCTATCTC